CCACATTTTCTCCACGCTAGTGTGTGTTCTCGCTGTTACTGAGTATATAGGTGTGAACTGTGACTCACCTGTGACGAATATCCCGCATACCACGGCAGTGGTATGCTCGTATGCGGCATAGATGTTTAGGGGCAAGGGTGTCTCATAGTATGCGACATAATTTTTTCGCGTTATGTTATAACTAGCATAACTGAAAAGTACTGTAGTTAAAACTCTCATACCCATCTGCGCCATTATCAAGTTAAGGAGCCGACTACGAAACACCGAGACGTGACTGAGATGTTGCAGGTATTGTCACTAATATAGGTTAGGGAGTCATCGACTACTACAGGCAATGAAACAATTGATCTTACTGGTTGTGGTAACTGAGTGACGCCTAAAGATCTTTCCGAAGCTGAAAAAATAAGCTATGGAGTAGGACACCATTCACGCGTTCAAGAAATGAATCCTGCTAATAAATCTTTTTTTCCTCGTAAGTGGGACATGCGAATGTCATTACGAGAAAACATGTCAATCGAAGTAACTTCATGACGCTAATGCGCACATCACTACACAGGCAGAAAGAAGTATTACGTCCTATTAAATTATCAGTCTAAAAATGTCAAAGGGACCTGCATGACAGCTCTCCCTGCAACTACAGAAGCAATGACTTTTAATTTAGAAGAATTGTATAAGTGGTTGTTCAGTCATGACCATGCAAATGGTCATGTCTGTTGCCACAAATTATTTAGTTATAGACAAAAGTTGAAGCGAGTTGTCATTATTACTCGTCTATCAATGGTCACTCATTCTAAAGTGTACCTACAGCTCTGTCTTAACTATGCTTGTGAATTTCAAACCGTACGAGACTTCAAAAGCGACTTACGGATACAAGCAGGCTTTTATCCAGCGTGAAGAAGCCAAACGCGTTGCTGCACAGCTTATCCGAGTCTAAGGCTGCTTTGAAGAGCAGAATCTAGCAGGCATTGTGGAGGAGAATGAGGAAAGACCGAAAAAGAGACAATATAAATGAATGCATACGGAGGGTTTAGCTTAATGATAGTACTTACAAACAAAACTTACCTGAGCGATAACCTCGTCAGACAGGCAGGATGTTGGTGTTGAATCGAGCATGTCTCGTAGTTTCACGCACTGGAAGATTGTATCAAAGCAATGATTGCTTCATTAAGTGTCCTGAGCAACAAACGCCTAATGACTAAGCTTTTGCGATGAGCTCAGTGTGCACTGAACAGATCTATCAATTGCTGAGGACACCTCATGTTTCAAATAGCTGGTTGTCTCCTTAATCTGATAATGCATTTATATTTTCTGAAATTTATGCACTTTTGAACCATAAAAACCAACAGAGCTTCGAAAAAAAAAAAAGAGCTCCATGCTTGTGACCAACCACTCACCGAGCTTTTTGAAGGGCGAGAAAGCATGTGAAAAACGTGTGTTACCTATATGTGAAGAACCAATTTAGATTTCTGGCAGTTAGTTTGTTATAAATACTCACTGACTAAGGCAAGGTGGTAATTCAAACAAATGAAAAACTATCACGGCCTTGTAAATACTTGGACATGTGTTTTCAGATGCAGCAGGAAACACAAACCTCTTTTGAAGTTGTTCTGGCAGTGCTGAACGAAAATTATAGATGCTGCACTGTTTATGTACCTCTTAGCGCTCTTCTCTTTTGTTCTATAATAAGCTAGTACCATGAGCAATATTATAAAGCCAAGAGACGTGGCATAAGGCTGTACTCAAGAGTTCTTTTGAGGAGTCTTCAGGTTAGCTATCACAATAGAGTTCTTTGAATAGACTTTGCAAGAAAGTCGCAATGCTTACCTGGTCCTTCAGGTTGGTCGAGGAAAGCACTAGCTCAAGGAGCTCTACAACTATGTATACGGTGTAACACGCTGAGAACAGCAACTTTATGAAAGACTCTCCGGGGTGCGTGATGATATAAGCACTCGTGCAGAGTATAACGAGTGACGAAGCGACTGACAGAAGCGTGGAGAACTGAAGTATCTCATTAAGCCTGCCGGCGATGCGCCCCAACTTTAGGTAATTCAGTCTCAAATCCTGAAGCACGGCGAAGCTGCCATATGGAGGGTCAGCAGAAGTGCCATGCCGCACTGCGAGGAAGTGTCGCAGCAGAAAGGTGACTGGTGTATTCTGACAGGACGCGATATATCAACCTAGCCAGAGTGTGAGCTGCTGAAGAAGCTACGTAGACAACGAATGCGGAAGGTACCGACCATATAGAAGTCACCGCTGCTGCAGCAGCCGCATGATGAGTGGCCGTGAACTCTTGGTACATAGCGTACCGGGTCACGACACACGCGGTGAGCGTAGTCCATCGCGCCACTCCCCACAACCTACGAGCTGAGAACAAGCATTCGAGCTCATGTACCCGTTGGTAACGTATGTGCTCCTCGAACGTGACCATATCGTTGAGAATTGAGACGAACTTTGTGCCGAATAGCACGTACATTGATATGCCTGAAATTGCTTTGATATACATGGCGACAATCAAGATGTTGAACACCGCGACCGAAAAGGCTCCCCCGCTCAGCTCGTTGTACAGTATGAACAGCAGTATGCTCGCCTCAAACGCCATGCAAACGCTATTGAGCAGGATGCCGTAAAAGGCGTCCCAAGATCTCCAGTGGCTCTCAAACCGTAGTCCTTCTTTGCGCGGTGCTTTAGTCACTAAAGAGAGACCCGTAAGCCTGCTTACCTTCGCGGTGATATCAAACTCCCTCTCAAGATAGCTCATGGCAGACCGTCCTGCTGCACAACGTGGAACACTTATTATCTACTGGATCTTGAAAATCTAGTTACCTTTACATCACTTCAATGTATCAGAGGGCACATGTTTGACAGCCGAGAAATATTAGACAGCCTAGGTTGGATAGCAAACTGATGATATATGTCTTTGGACAGGCGTGTACGATAGAAATAAATATAGCTGAGGTTACCAATCAAATGATTGATAGCGAAGAGCTGCAGTAGGTTTTGATACTTCGAGCTAACAGAGCAACAGAAGCAATCACACAGAATAATAAACAAACACCCCAATAATTTTTCGGAAGTGGCCTGTGCTGTCTTGAATTCGTATCTCAATAATTTAATTAGCACTGAAAAGTCATCTGCGTGAACCATAGGAATAATAAGTAACGTTTGTTTCAGATTGAAGCGTGGTGATAGCTAAGTCCAACTGCGTGTTTGTGTGGCCCCTGACGCCAAATCAAATTCAGTTCTGAACAGCATCAACGAAAATAGCAAATCACTTGTATATGTAGCAGCATCAATACTCTCGAACGTGACATCATGGCACCAAGTCTAGAATATGATTTCCATTAATGTTATCCCAGAGCTCAATCACGCCCAGGAAAGTCGCCACCATGGCATACTTATCGAATAGACTCAAGATTCGCGCAAAGTTTCACGAAAGTTGACTTTTCCCTTATAATTCATACAAATGCATATATAACTTACGCGCTATGAAACAGAGCCTACGTTTCCTGACTGCGAAATGTGTGCAACCTTCTGCTAACTAAATTATTCCTGGCAGATAGTATTAGTGTCTTAGCTAATTGTTATTCAATTTACTTCATTTCGCAACCCACTCTCACAGCCACTTCAAGGGCATCTGATTAGATGCACCAGTTTGAGCTTGACCTGTATTTCGTTGCGCTGACGTCACTATAATAGATTAGCTCTTTTGCGTTAATGGCAAGGAAATGATGCAAAGCCTATTTGGAAGGCTAATACGCTCATCGCATAATGTATTTCACCCACGTTGTTTTGTGAAGGATGGATCACGCAACTTTACTGATATGTTCAGTGAAACATTCACACATTATTCGTGAAACAAAAATTTGACATTATACCGTTGAGTTTGTGCATTCCACGCAACGCATTCATTACATTAGGTATTTCTGTTCACTTTTTAACCGATTTCATTCTCTCAGTAACATCAATTTAATTTTACACGAGTCACATATAAACTTTAGTGATGCACTAGACACAAAAAATGCCTTTTTTGAAAACTTTGAGACTGAGCAGTGTGGAAAATTCGCATTCCATAGATATGGTGCCGTTTGTTGACAATAATTTATGAGTCATATGTGCAGGTGAAGTTTAAATATGGAATGGAGATCTCTTAGGGTTCTGTTTTCGTGTTCTCTCCATCAGCAGATTTTGAGTTGACAGACTGCTAATAAGCGGGAATCTGTAAGACGTACTTGAATCTAAGGACTAGGGCCTGTTGCGTTGTCTTTATCGTATGTGTGCGTTGCTGCCGATATTCAACCACGGGAGCTTCAGTACACCCGCAGAGCAGCATAAAAACTGAGCCATAGTGGCGGGCACGTCAGTGTTGTCACAATGCCTCCATGCATGTTCATTACAGCCTAACTGACACATCCGTGGTTAGGTGCACATGAACTCTCAGGGTAATTGAATCACTTTCGTATCAGGGTAATCAGGTAGGCTGAATTTCTGATCTGAGCCTTAGAAACAGCAGTACTCATCGCACATTACAGTGAAGCGGATGTTTGACGTGCTTTTGGTGAAGATGTAGTCGTAAAAGATGTGTGCAGTAGCTGTAATAGTTAACGCACAAGTCAAAATATTTTGCTGTTCGGGAGAGTAGTTGTGTGTCTCAATACGGTGGTACTGTTGGGTGGAACAGCCACTCCATGCAGCGCTTGCATGGTTGCGTACTTGATGGCTGCATACTGCATAGCTGAGCTGGCATTGTGTGCAGAAATGGCAGCGATACTCTAGGCTGTCAGCCAACATGGAGTATTCGGAATGTTAAAGAGGGGACATGGTCTTCCCTTGAATGTAAAACGTGGAGGTGATAATAACTGCTAGGTACTATATTCGGGTGGTCAAATTCAGTGAATGAAGCAAGCACGGTTGCTTCATTTGAGCTTTTGGGAGGAAGAAGAATGGAGACTTTGGCCTTCGATTTGCTTTAGGGGAACGTATAAAGTTTGAATTTTATTATATTCTATGGATATTTATTTGATTTCTTGGAAACGTATAGGCGATATAGAAAAAGCAATTGTTCGGCAGCTATAGCAATTTGGGGAAAAATTGTTGATATTCGGGACATTTATCCCATGGCACGCATATATATCCCCCTGGCAAGTGAGCTTCAGCGAAGCCCTCATTGCAGACACATTGACCAGTGTGGCAACTCGGTACGCAGGTTTCCTTCGGTGGTGGCTTGAAGCAACTTGGCTCGCAGCCCCACTTGCAGATCTGGAACGTTGAGTTTGGTTGGCATGCCGGTGGGCACTTTGCTATCGACACGCATTCAAACTTCTCGCTGTAACCACTGAAAGGAGAAATTGTCGGTTCAACGCTATGCACTTACAGACATGCCACTGTCTAGGATCTAGTTCAAAAAAGAACTCAACTGGGTTCCTGTTAGTGCAGATAGGGCAGCATCATTCGGATGCTAAGGACTATACTTAGTTGGCGTTATAGCAAAGGCACGAAACATTGGTCGAGGTTACCAGGCAGTATGTAGCACAAGCCATTACTGCCGAATCAACCTAAGTCTGCAACACGGTAAACGTTAAAAAATCTCAGCAAGTCGTGATTTGCTGTGGTAATTAATATACACCGAAGGCATAGAACGTAAAGTATCAAAACAAGGACGAGTACTAGGCTGACGTACACATCTTGGTTGGTAATGTAAGCGGCATCTTAGACTCCTCCGCTCTCAAAAAAGGTAGTAGTGACCCATTGGCGTCGCCTGCTTTGAGTGGTCTCACCGCTCATGGAATAAAGCACAGAATAAGAGCGTGTGCTACTGCTGGGTGGGGCTCAGCTGATGACCCGAAGGTCACGGGCTGAATCCTGGCTGTGGCACTCGCATTTTGATTGAGACGAAATGGATAGAGGCCCGTGCACTGGGAAGCCAATGCACGTTAAGCAGCAGATAGTCAAATTTCCGGAGCCCTTCTCCACGATTTCTCTCATATGCATATCGTGGTTTTGGGACTAATAGTTCGAAATAATATGTATATCTGTACATAAGTCATGTTCCCTTTTTATTTTTAGAGGACGCATATGAACAATATTGGCGGATTTTTGTGGTTGGTGTCATCGTTGCCGGCATGTTCTGCTTGTATAATAAATCGATAACAGCCCCCATGAATCATCGGCGATAAAAGTGCGATACATGGCGATACATGGCGATACATGGCGATACATGGCGAAAGTGCGATACATGGCGATAAAAGTGCGCGAGTGCCATTGACGAACGCGGCTGAAGCCGAGACGAAACCAAGCGACTCCTCTCTGTCACTACTGGGCCTCGTGAGATAACATTCACTCGAGATTCAGACCTGTCTTCTCAAATACTAAGTGAAGAAGAGAGAAAATGCCACACCCATCATGAAAGAGCATTGGAAGACGCAGAAAAAGGAAGCAGGAGAGTGGTGTCTCTCGACTGTCAACTGTGAACGCTTGTTCCAAGGCTGCGGTCACGATCCATGGCAGGCGCGCTTTCTCGGCATGCATCAGCGGATGGCTCACATAGCTTCCTAGGTGATGTGCTTTCAATGTGAAGGAACTCTATTACTAGAACGGTTCTCTGGTAGAATAAGTGATGGCCGCCTAGTACGTTTCAGCTTACCTCTCACCAGAACCTTGACATATATTATCTGAGTCCATCGGTATTTCCCGATCACCAACAACACAGCTCACATCGGCACGTGATTTTACTTCTTACCGGCGCACTAACTCTATTGCATACAGATTTGCAATGAAACTTTAGCTGTTTTTGGTTTGACATAAACAGTGAATCACCTGAGATGCATACCGGCATTATATGGGCTGTGGTGTGGTGAACGGGTTCGTGTCTCACGTGGCTGATGCTAAGGATATCATAGCGTACACTAGGGAAATCATGCTATTGATGTCTTGACCTTCAACTCACCTTGGTGAAACATTCACGCAAATCTACGCCAATTTCGGTTTGCCCCAACGAACGACACGACCGCGAGAACGCGAAGACATTAGCATTCAGACAGACAGGCAGGCAGACAGACAGACAGACAGACGGACGGACGGACGGACGGACGGACGGACAGACAGACAAACAGACAGACAGACAGACAGACAGACAGACAGACAGACAGACAGACAGACAGACAGATAGATAGATAGATAGATAGATAGATAGATAGATAGATAGATAGATAGATAGATAGATAGATAGATAGATAGATAGATAGATAGATATTTGGGTCGCAAAGTAATGTGGCAAAAAATAAAAATCTTCAGTAAGCACACCAAACTGATACGATGGCTGAGAATCCTAGAGTACTTACCGCACGAATCCTGGTGGACACGCACATGCAGCTCCACAGATCTTGGTGCAGAAACTAGGAACCGGCTTTCCACAGGTCAAAGGGCAAGTGCCTTCGCATTCGTTGTAGTCGGCATTGGGCCATTTCTTGCACTTCGCACAGTCCTGAACTGGGACGCAGTGGCCCCATGCGTTGCGCACGTAACCTGGCTTGCAGACGCACTTCCTCAGCTGGTGCAATTCAGCTGCAATCGTTAGTTCAGGCTTGCAAAACGTGTCTTGCCTTGGTGTCGTCAGCAGAACTTCCCTTTTTCTTCGCATTTGGTTGGTGCATCTGCGGCAAGAGGTACACGTTCACTGATGTCTCTGAAGGAAACCGGTTATCAGATATGCTGGGCCTAAGGTTCGTGGTATCCTTAGTGCCTTTTCTTTTCATGAATGTAACGAGGGCTACCTAACAGCGAGAGCAGCACGGTAATAAAAGTGGCAGCGCACATATGTTTAGAGTTATTGAAGACGTCGTGAGCATAGGTCAATGAACTCGCTCTTGAGTCGACTCTCTCAGACAAAAATTGGGCCGCGAGTCTGAGTCTGAGTAAGTCGTTATGAGTAATATCTTCGTTAGCTTGAGTGCGAGGGAGTCTCGCATATTTCAGAGCACTGGAGTTCATGCGCCACAGCATTTATTTATTTATTTATTTATTTATTTATTTATTTATTTCATTCTGCTAGCTTGCATTACAAGCCGTAGGCAAGAGTAGATTGCAGAAAAGAAAATGTCAAACAAACTGTGAAAACAGTTCGAATAAAAAACGTGCGAAACAAATCTTAAATCTGTGCTGAAAGTATTTACAACGTGCGAAATGAGAAACAATAAAATATAGTTAACACACAAGATTCTGCAGATGAAAGTATGAGAAAAATACATAGATCACAAAGAGAAGTAATAACGTCATTTATTGACTAGAGGCGTGAGTTACCTCTGTTACTCACATCTCTCCTCTTCGGCTCGGCTGTTCCGCCTCTCCCGCCAGCCGAAAAGGCTTCATCAGAAAATTGTTGTTAAAGACATGTCATGAGGGTCGTGTTCTCAGCACTTTTTTAGTGAATTTCAGCCACTTATGAGTCGTGTTGTGTGATAATTGAGTGAGACACTGCAATTAAGAAGCACTGACTGACATCATGATCAAAACAACGGCGCTGCCGCACGCGGTAACCGGCTTATTCTGAATTGTTTCCGAATTTCTGGTGAATTTGGGTAAATTTAAGTCCGTGGAAGTCCTCTTGAGAGAAAATAGCGTGTGAGTTCGAGGAAGTCTGGTTCAGAAAAGTTTGCTCAGATGATATCCGTGCACCTGCTTATATAAAAAGTATCAAACGTAGTTATAGTACTGTCACCAAGGTTCAGTAGTGAGGTGCATTCGACATTGTTAGACGTCATCAAAGTCTCCATAATTCACTTAAACAATGCAGTTCTACATCGAAGATCCTACGGTAGATGGCTAACTCGTCAGGGCTGTTGAAAGAAATCACAAACCGACGACAGTGCAGAATGGAAGAAATACTCGTTTGTCACCTACATTCGTTCGTCACTTGCCACATTACGTACGTAACCACCTTCCCTATACTTGGTGCACACCAGAAAGGAGAAACCTGACCATCCTCCGTCGCGCCACTTCCATGGTTGCATGCATACTACCAAACAACGCAAGCATGAAACTTTTATTCCATTCATGCCTCCATGACGTCCTCGCTTAATTATTGGAAGCAAAGTGCTGGTAGCGCCTCAACTCACCTAAACGGGCCGGGAGAGTCTGACTCAACGCAGCATTACCTTTCACCACCTGCTCGTCGTCAAGCACCAAACTTAGGATCGTTTAGGCTTGGCTAAACGCGAACTTTATCCCGGAAAACATGTACTCTGAACATAAAGGCCGGCGAACGCGCGGGTGGAATCCCTCATCAAAGCTTACGTCAATATCACTGGCGTTACCTTTGTTGACGCAGCTGAATATCAAGACAGACGCCACTTCGCAGCAGCTACCACTAAAAGCGGCTGGCTCGAACACACTACCAGCATCGTAACCCAAGCGTCGAGACAGTCGATAATGTGGTCATCGCCCTGGTCTTCCTGGACGAAGATTGCCGCACAATCTTGGGTGACTGCCACACGGCGATCAGCAGTTATATCACATATGACATTGCACAGCGAGCCTAACGTATCCCTTGCTCGCAGGATACGTAATGGGTACAAAGCACATACTCACCAGAAAACCAAATCACGCACGTTTGGATTCGAGCACAAGACGGCGACCTACACGCGATCGCACACTACACAGTACGAGGCCTAGTCAACAAGGATGGAGGCGACGCTAGTTTAACCACTGAACGTTCGCAAACGCCTCACGATCTAAAAGCATTTCATTTCCAAAAAAGTGCCTCGTACAATCTTCACCACTAGCTCAACACAGCACGGGTGACCACACTCCACCTGTTATAGACAAACATATGCCCGCCACTGTAATGTTACTACGCAATATAACCGGGAATTGATCCTAATCACACTTGTAAAAACATGTAAGACCCAGGTAGCTTCACTCCTGCATATACTAGGGAAATTAAACCCCAATACCCGTCCATAAAAACCAAAACCCTATATCACCTAGATGACACCACTCTGCGCGGCTTCCACCTGGAAGACCAATGTCGACCTTCCCAGCAAGCCCGGAGGTGGTGTAGAGTCATTACCACCTCGTGAACCCGTGGCAAGCCTAGGCTTGGCCCATTAAACTACTTACTTTATTAGAAGTTCATTCCTCGTTCTTAATCTGCGCGAGAGCTAGATACGAAGTGTACTATTTGAGTTTGTGTGAGGAAGCTGCTTTTTTCGTGCCGAGCAATGGCTGCAGAGAACATAACGCAGAGGTTCGACTAAGGACGTAAAAGAGGTGGGCTTCTGGCGATTGGGATGAAACTACTCTTGAAACTCTATAATGGCCACCTGTAACATCTTCTGAACGATGTCACGATATCTATTTTCCTTACTGATTGCTATGATCCGACTGGATGCTGTCTATAGCTGCATCACTTCACAGCGATGCCAGTAAGCGGTCGAAATTGAGATGGTGCTGTGCACCTCTTCTGCTAGTGTATCTGTTCACTTTGTTCCGATGATGACGACAAAGGACGCGCTTAAAAACGAAGAAGCATGGTGTTTCGTTCGTTCCAAGGGACCTGTCTCAAGGTGTGATAAAATTAACGCCTTCAGGAATGCCAAGCATTCCAGCCAAAACAGTGCCATTGTAAAGAGGGTTGTTGGGGGTGGGGCAATTAAAATCCCCCGCTCCTGCTTCTGAAAGTTTTGCCTTTGGATGTTGGAGAACACACCCTCCTGCCTGAAGAAAATTCAAGCAACTCCTGATCTAAAACACTAGAACATGTTCGAATACCGTCAACGCGTGAACGAGATGAACCAGTGTGTAGAAGCTTGAAGCATTGGGAGCGTTTAATTCTGTCTATTTTGATAATCATGTAAGTTATAAATGACCTGTTGCATGCATCATCTTTGTTTCCAGCATAGAAAACTTCAAATCAATAGTAGTAATATTACGCGCTAAGTGTGGGCAGTTTGGCTTACCTCCCTGCTTGCTTAGTGGCGTGAGTGAAGAAATCAGTGCACTCACAAGTGCCCACGAATACATGACCAGTTCCTTGATGAAAACTGGCGGCTGCCGGATGGCTGATGCATCTGCTGCGCATAAGGTAGTGTACTTCAGAACCTGAAATTGAGGTCATATATAGCGAGGAGCAGCCTGTCACGAACACCTCTACGGTATGGAAGCATTATGAGAGAGGCGTGCCTGAAAACAATGAAGGACGACTTGTGTGTCATTCATGATGTCGTGACAAATGTTAGGAGAATGGACGTTGAAACATCAGACACGTGTATCTGGGTATTTCATTTATGACAGTGCAGCGTATGAGCAGTAGACGGCTTTACAATATACAGGTGCAGACACGCATGTTTTTTTATTATTTTAATAATAACAGCGATGAATATTAGCAGCGATGATAACGGTAAAAACTTTGCTACAGACTTCGTTTAGATTTATCAACACAAAAAATTGTCCTCCCATCAAGGCAATATTTCTGGAGATTGAAAGGAACCTAATGACAACTTCAAATACTAGATAAGTTGAATCACTGTGGACTTGTATTAACGCGATAGCGCTAGAAAGCTCGTGTTGCAGAAATTCTGCCGTCCACGTCGGCACCATTGATTGTGAGCGAAAAATCGTCCATCGGTGAAAAGGCGAAAAAGATTAAAATAAAATAAATGATAAAATTTTCTGTCCCATATAGGATTGAACCAGGGCCATTGGCTTTGCAAGCAGGTGTCCTATCACAAAGCGACGATGTTACTTGCAGCTGCTCCAAGAAAGAAACACTACATAAATGCCATGTAGTGAAAAGAGTCTACTTAACGCATTTTGTTCAACAGGTGTCACGACGAAAACAAGCCCATCCGGTAATTTGTAGACGCATTTGGGAGGCCATCAAACTACGTCGAAAAAGGCCGAGAGAGTGCAGCCATCACCGCTAGAAACACAGAGGAACTTTCAAACAGCTCTAAATATGGACAACTATGTCCACTTAGTGGGAAACATATCATGCCTTTCCAGAGGCGTTGATAAAAAAAAGCATCAGCAAACGCTAGGTAATGTGCTGCCATCTGTAAGGCATTGTGAGACTCTTTGTGGCCTGCTAGATGGCGAGCGCGCGGCGTGTATGTGTGTGTGTGTGTGTGTGTGTGTGTGTGTGTGTGTGTGTGTGTGTGTGTGTGTGTGAAAACATATGAATAGGTATGCACTTAGTGGTTGAAGGGCGCACTAGAGGTGGGATTTCGCTAGTGCGTTCAACTCTTAAAGGTTAAAGGTGAAGCTTAAGGGTCCCCCAATTTTTTTCAACGAGTCCGCAGTCGGCACTGTTTCATATTTGTCGCACAATCTGGAAATGAAATTGTGAAATGTTGATAAGATGGAGAATTATGTGGCGTGTTGTTGGATCAAACATCACTTCAATGAAGCAGCGGGCACTTGGTACTACGACTTAGTTTCTCAAAACACCTACCCAATAAATAGGAGACGATAAGATCTAATCTCATCACCACCTCTGTTTTTTTCTCGCATCTTCAATGCTTGTCCTAGCAAGAATGTGTTAGTGACAAAGCACGCAGTTGGGATCCTTTAAAATTATTCCTGGAACATTTCCTGTTTTAATGCAGAGGAGCTTGGGGTAGTTATTTGTGACGATTGCTAGAAGGCAAAACTGGCCAGAGCATCAATGGCGTACTGTTTTGAGTGGCGATGCACTCAGTGTGTGCGGTATACAAGCACACCAACTGATAGAAATTCGCCAAAGTGGTTTTGATTCATAGTAGAAGGCTTTTGAGATATGTTTCGGACAGGCAAGCCAGCATATATGATGGAGTGGTTACGTAATATGCTGCCCGACTCAGGGACTCTTTTGAATGTCGGATCGAACATTGAGAGACAGTACAGACATATGGTCCGCTTAGAGAGCTTCTGACAAGTGAGCATTTCATTTCATTTCATTTATTTACTTTCAGGGCCCGAGGGCATTACAGAAAGGAGTGGGGTTTCACAACTAAAACGCGCAACAATACATTCAAAGCACTTCTTGGTGGGTGATGACCTTGAAGTTATTTACATCTATGATGGAGGCGATGGCGGCGGGAAGGTGGTTCCGGTCCCTGCTTGTTCGTGGAATGAAAGAGTCATAATAAAGATTAGTTCGACTAGATGGCACACCAACTTTTAAACCATGATCCAAACGGGATGAAATGTAGGAGGGGTTTGTGAAAAGCTGTTCTTTTAAAATGGGGTTGTGATGAAATATTTTGTGAAAAAGTGAAAGCCGAGAACATTTACGACGCAACGACAGATCAGGCAAGTTTAGCGACATCTTCATTGCAGTTACGCTAGAATGGCGGGAGTGGTTAGAAAATACAAAACGAGCTGCGCGGTTTTGAATCAATTCGAGGGCGAGGATTAGAGTATGTTTGGAAGGATCCCAGATGGCGCATGCGTATTCTAATTTTGGACGTACTAGCGTTTTGTAAAGAGTTAGTTTTAGTGATGAAGGTGCAGATGAAAATTACGACGTAAATATCCGAGCATGCGGTTAGAGTTGTTAGTTACATAGTCAACATGCATCTGCCAAGACAGATTATTTGTGATATGAAGACCGAGGTATTTATATGAATCGAAGTGCGACAAAGAAGCGGCATGAAGACTATACGTGCACGTGTTAGCAGTATTATCACGACGCGAAATTCGCATGTATTTGCATTTGGACACGTTAAGACGCATGAGCCATTTATTGCACCACTCGGATAGGTTGTTAAGATCGGTTTGAAGTTTCAAGGTGTCAGCTGGGGTAGAAATTTTCAGATACAATACACAATCATCAGCAAAGAGTTTAATGGTTGAAAAAGTGATGCAGGTGGGAAGATCGTTAATGTAAATAAGAAAGAGCAACGGCCCCAGTACTGATCCTTGAGGTACGCCAGACGTTACAGCACAAGAGGGGGATAAACAGTCATTAGCGGTTACGTACTGGGTTCGGTTAGAAAGAAAGTCTTTAATCCAAGAGAGAACATTAGGGTCAATGTTGAGTTTGGTAAGCTTCAGAATTAGTAAGTCGTGAGATACAGTGTCAAATGCTTTCGCAAAATCAAGAAAAATGCAGTCAGTATCGAAACCTTGATCAGCGTTAACAAACAGGTCGTTAGTAAAGGACAAAAGCTGGGTGTCGCATGACACCATCTTCCTGAAGCCGTGTTGACAGTTGTTGAAAAGGGAATTTTCTTCGAGAAAACTAACTAAATGTGAATATATTATGTGCTCTAACATTTTACATGGTATGCTTGTTAGTGAAATGGGACGGTAGTTCTCCGGTGAATTAGTGTTACCTGATTTGTGAACCGGAACCACCTTGCCCTTTTTCCAGTCGCCAGGTAGGGATGAACACTGCAAAGACTGATGAAAAATCTTCGAAAGAATTAGTGATGAGTACAACTCTGTACATTTCAATATTTTGGAATTTATGGCATCAGGACCCGCAGAAGAAGACATATTCAAGTTGTTGATCAGTTTTCTAACTCCTACCCAATCTATTACAATATAGTCCATAGGAAAAAAATTATGGCTAGGGGCTGTTGGAACAGAAGACGAAAAACTGCGCAGAAAAACTGAACAAAATGCATCGTTTAAAAGCTTGCAACATTCATTATTTGGAACAGGTTCGCCACAGTGTGTTAATTGCACTATCTTGTTTTTGTTACCGTTCACAAGAGACCAAAATTTTCGTGGATTGTTTTGTAGATAAGAGGGAAGAGTAACGTTAAAGTAAGCATTTTTTGCATTAGCAACTTCATGGAGGTATTCGGCGTTAGCGTTTTGGTACTCGGACCAACGGCTGAGTCTGTCTACTCTCTTGGCAGAGCGAAACAGTCGCTTCTTTTTGTTGCGTAAGCGTCGAAGTGTAGCATTGAACCATGGCGAACGGGGATTAGTGCGGACATTTCTTTGTGGAACGTAACGGTCAGCTAAATATAAAAGTTTATTTCTAAAAATAGACCAGTTTTCTTCTATTGATCGTTCTTCAAAGTTCGCCATGAATTCATCGACAAATTGCTCCATTTCTTCTGTTATTGACCTGATGTCTGCTCTAGAGTAATCCCGGATGGTTTTAACACTTTTGTTAGAAGAAACACGTGCCTTTAGATTAAAGTGTAACATGGAATGATCACTTATTCATTGAAGGTAACTAAGGGAAGTAACTAAGTCTGGCTTGTTTGTTAGGATCAAGTCTAAGGTGTTGGAACAAGTAGCTGTAGTGCGTGTGGGTTTGTGTACGAGTTGGGTTAGATTGAAGTGAGAACATACGTTTATGAATTCAACACACTCAGACGAATTTTGAGTAAGGGTTACAATATCGCTTTGCCACTTTATGTTTGGTAGAATGAAGTCTCCCAAAAGAAATAAGGGCAAATTCTGGTAACTAATAACGACACTGTTTAAAACATCATGTAGTTCGTCAGAAAACGATGGCGAGGCGGTGGGCGACCGGTAACATGCACAGAGAATGAAATCTTGGCTTGGCAGACAGATTCGTACACAGATAAGTTCTAGGCCGGAAGATACATTAACCACATAAGATTTCAGAGCACTGCTGACACCAATCAATACACCTCCCCCAGAACGTACGTCACGGTCGTAACGATAAATGTTGTACGATTTTTCGCATTCAAATATTTCACTGTTCTTTATTTTGGCTGACAGCCAAGTCTCTGTACAAACAATAATATCTGCTGAACATGAATCAATTGTAGAAGATAACTGCACCCGCTTGTTCATCATGCTCCGTGTATTTGTGAAAAGTACAGACACGTGCTCGACATGTGGCTGCGATGAAGATAGCTATGGATGGGGACTGGCGCGGGGAGTATGCACTGACGCGGTACCGCTCGATGCATGCGACACTTGGTTAGGAGTGACGTCACAAACCTCATCGGTCGCAGCGCAGTATACGTACGTTTTCTTGTTCATTACAAGTTTGCTGTTATGCAGTGAAAAACGCTGACCGCTTGCATTGCCAAATTCAATTAGCTTCTTGCGCGACTGCCGAGTGGTTCGGCAAAAGTCCTCCCCCACTGACACGCCTGAGCTTTTAAGTTTGGCTTTTCGTGAAAGGATGCGGTCCCTCACTTTGGAAGAAGAAAA